TGAGCTGCTCTGAGCCACAACCTTAAATAGCTGGCCTGGGAAAACAGGAACTAATCAGTGGCAGGTGCGGACCATCAACGCAGGTGCGTAGGCCAAAAGCAGGAGCCCAGTAATTAGCTCCGCCCAGGCAGACAGAGGACAATGAGGGAAAGAGAGGGAGAGCGAGAGGGAGGGAGAAAAACAAAAACAACACCGAAGCCCAACGTGAGCCGGCTGGAGAGACACGGGACCATGACATAACCATTATGTCCAGTACTTTCAGTACCGTTGATTTTCATCTAGAGATTTTTTCTCCAATTGATCTTTTTGAGATAACTTCAGTAATTACTTCCTCCAAACATCAGTGTGTCTGTTAGACTCAGAGACTCTTCTGTGGAAGCAGCCACCAGCTGGAAGTCTGGAGACAGACGTCCTCTCTACTCTTAAGATTAGGCTCAAAACATTACTTTTTGATAAAGCATATAGTTAGGGCTGGATCTGGTGACCTTCAGTTATGCTGCAATAGACTTCCCATGATGCACTGAGCATTTCTCCCTCTCTCTCCTTTTCATTCACCGTGTGTTTGATTATCCATTTTATTATGAGTTAGTATAAGTCCTGTCTGTCACAGTCTGTGTAGCAGACCGTATATGGAGAGATATGGACCCAGGTGCGGACTGGAGATGAAGATGGAGGCTTGGATGAACATGAATGCATGTTACTCTGCATGAAGCTGTGTGCAAGGACAGATGAGCAATGAGATTTGATGAGATTTAAAGTAGAGTGGAGTGAAGGCTGATAGGCCTCAAAAAGGTGGGCAGATAGATAGACCAGTGATGTCACAATGAGCTTGACAGTCTGGGAGAGTGGATGTGAGTTTAGATGAGCCACCTGGGAAGCAGACAGTTGTGTGATTACAGAGCTTCCTAATTGAACTTATGCATGAAGTTAATTTCTTAAAGATACTATTGTCATCAAATTCTCTCAAGATATCAGTAAAAACCCATCCAAATAATCCATACATGCAAAGAAATCTACCAGTATTTCACAGGCTTG